CAGATATTTCCTCTCGCACAGCATGTCAGAGGATCTATATAGTTTTTTTTTTTTTTGTTATTATTATTTTGTAAAATCAATTCCAGAAGACATCTTCAAGCTAAACTTCTTTATAGCTGTTGAAATATTTATTCTCTGCAATCAAGATACCTTGCCTTTTATACCCCAAGTTTATGAGCAGAGTTTAATGTCAGCTTTGAGCACGATCATTTCATAAGTATACAATCTGTATTTATTGAGGCTGTCAACCATTAAAAAAAAAATAACAATATTAAAATGTACTGTGTTAAACATTGTACTCTACCGTTTATCATTTTGGGCTCTGTTAATTCTTTACAAGAAATTAATACTTTTATTAAGCCAGGATGCATGCAATTTTTCATACAGTAAAGACTTTTACATTGTAACAAAAATATATATTTCAAATAAATACTGTACTTATGAACTTTCTGTTCATCAAAGAATCCTAAAAAAAAACCATCATGGTTTCCACAAAAAATATTAAGCAGAACAACTTTTTTTTTAACCTTGATAATAATAAAAAGAAATGTTTCTTGAGCACCAAATCAGCACATTAGAATGATTTCTGGAGGATCCTGTGACATTGAAGACACTTAAACTGTAGTATATGTTAATTCATTGCATGCAGTAATTTTGACAAATTTAGTATTATAAACCGAGTCAGGGTCAACCTCAATGCTTTTGAAAGTTGACATTAAAACTCTCAGTAAAGTCCAAATAAAAGGGGTTTAATATTGTCTTGATTTGCAACATCAATCCAAGGTACATTTATGTATTTGGCAAATGTTTTCATCAAAAAAGCAGTGTTTTTCAGTAAGTGTGATAACTGGCAATTGAACTCATGATCTTGCCTATGGCTGGCAACAGCTGATTTTTAGGAACACCATTAAAATGGCAATCACAATTAAGTGGAACAATCACTTCCTTTTGTACAATCAGGGGAACTACACAAAATAATTTCTGTATCCCAATTCCGCACTGTTATCAGTCAAGTGTGAACTACTATTGCACTAGATATTACATTTTTTGTGTTACTCACCAGGGTTTTTAATATAGTTAAAATAAGGGTGATAATTTAGCTTGTATATATTCTGTAGTTTGTTACAATTACCCTTCGAATGCTTTATCAGTGAATGAAGTGTGCCATATGAACTAATGTTGGCCCTGACCCGTTCACCGTCACCTGCTCTGCTTTGCTCTGGCCTCTTCTTTATCCTTGCCTGAGCTCTTGACGTGTCCCATGATTGCCCCCAGCAGCCCTGCAATCAGAGAGGGTGAAGCTGAATAGGTCAGCTTGCCACTCCACTCAAGCAGAGGGCATACCTCTCCTGTGCATGAAATCAGTGACCTTCTTCTAAACTGGCATCCATTTAAACAGCTGAAAATGAGAGAATCTGTGCTGTGTGGGAATAGAATCATCATTGATCTCTGAGCTTCTCCCTTAGCTGTAGAGAGGCTCACTGGGCGACACAGCTGAAGAATGCTCATCACTTTTAGTGGTACGGCAGCTCCACAGGCCCAACTCACAGGGGTTCGGTGATGAACGAGTGTAGCAGAATGTGGACACTACTCAGGGAATCCTAATGAACTCCTCTAGCTGGGGGAGGAGGAGTAGGGCCATCATTAATGTTTCAGAAGCTTAAGAAGCATGCATATGTAGGTCATATCCATATCTGCCATCATTTTAGTTTGCCCAGCCCCTGTTTAACCTTGTTTAACTGGCATTTTCTGTAAAGCCGATGATACATTGTGCATGTATTCCACTGTGTTGTCATTTGGATTTTACCAGTACCATCTTTTAACACTTTTGAGCTATTTCCCTAAGTGTTCCTAGAAAGTGCTTCTATCTACAGTCAAATAAAGCCACTGACCATTGTTTTTGTTACATTATTGAATGTTTTGGGTCTGTAAGATAAAAAAAAAAAAAAAAGGAAAGATATTAATACTTTTATTCAGCAGTGATGCATTACATTCAAAACACATTAAATTTAAATCAAGTGACAGTAAAGACTTTTTAATTGTTACAAAAAATGTCTATCTCGAATAAATGTTATTTTGAATGTTTTGATAAAAATAATGGTTTCCACAAAAATATTAAGTAGCACAACTGTTTTCTGTAACAATTTTACGTTAGCAGTAAATGTTTGAGGTATGTAGTATAATATGCATGATCTTATTGGTCAAATAAATGCATCAGTGGTGTCTTACTGACTTACTTTTGACTCTAAACTTTTGAATGGTAGTGTACAATATATTATACAATTTTATTATTTAAGCTATTTTTGGGATATTGCCCATCCCCAACATGACTAAATGGGACAACAAGCATCTTAAATGGACAGCTTTAAATAAGCCTTCGTTAGCAGATTCCTGCGTCTTCCTGCCCGGTGTCCTAGTTTCCTATTGAAGCGTTTTTTTGGGGACCACCAGGAACAATAGCTGGAAGCAGTGGGTCATGTTCCCCTTTCCTCTGCTCAAGAAGACTAGTATGAAACGTTCTTCTGTGGTCTTCTTATTATTCTGAATGATCTTATGAATCATAACAAGATGCAGAAATAGCCTGTTTGGATTTCAGACCTAATTAATCTTAAGTATCATCCTCATTAATCAGCTGTGGTTCTCCAAAGAACATCCACCATATAAAAATAGTGCGCAAATTACACAACTCAATTTAATAAGTATCACTAATAGACTGTTCGCAAAGACCCGCCCCCTTTAGTTACTGTTACTATGTCCGACAAGCTATGCCACTCTCACGCGGCGCCACACATCATGTTCTCACGCAGTGAAAAATACATCGCGGAGCAAAAAGGACACTGACAACACGCTGACAGACAGGACAGAGCAGGTTACTTGTAATATGAAACAGTCTCAACTTTCAAATTTGGTCATTTTTTTTCAATTAATTTAAACAATAAATGCCGTTTTGTGGCTCTTTAATGTGCTGTGACAGATCGCTGTAACGTCTCCGTTAAAACTGCTCGTAAACCGATCATCTCTTCCTTCTAGTTAATTTATAGCATTAAGTAAACATGAATGAACATCATAAGGATTGTTTCAACCCCAGAAAGACGTCAGTACACGTAGTTTTTCAAGTGCCATTTATGCAAGAATCACTCTGTTGATGTGATTTTACTTTTCTTATGGTGTGTACTTTTCAAGTAATGCGTCATAAGTGGTTTATTGTGCTCATCTGTTAGCCTAGAAATTTAGACGCACCCTAGCGGCAGCAAAAATTATTTTGCAGCAAAGTGTGGTCTAGCAACTCTCCATAGACTTTTGAGCTGGAAAAAACAAAAACTGGCCAGGCCAATCACATCGTGTATAGAGTCGGCGGGCGGGCTTAACATAATGACGACAGAGTTGTGACGGTTCCGCGTGATTTCCATAGGTGATTTCCCTGCTACTTGAAAACAAAGAAGATGCAGCTGGCGAACAGCGGTCTTTCGAATCGGCTTTGGCCGCGACTCTGGATGATTTGGAGTTAAGAGAACGTCACTGTCATTCTTAAAAAAGGAAGATGTGTTCGGAGTTTTGATGACCGGATACGGCAAAAGTTTAATATATCAACTAGCTCCGCTGGTGGGAAAACGCATGGGACTCACTCATCCACAGCCGTTCGTTGCTCTGGTTGGTTGTAGCGCTGTCCTATTGCGTGCAGAGGGAATTTGAAAGACAACAGTTTATCCCGCCCCTCGGATTGAGGTATGCCAATTGTGAGTTCCCAGACCTAACATCTTGATGTAGGTCTGGCTTGCCAGGCTACTCATCTGTAGATGTTGTGGATGGGAAAAGTACCAGCGCTGCTCATAAAAATAAACCCAGGGCTTTCCTTCCACACTATTTTAATTTCATAAATGGGTGTTTTCCCTGGTGTTGCGTTGGCAAGTGAGAGCCATTGCTACAGATGTCCTGAAGAAGAAAGATGCAAATAAAAAGGATACCCTTACAAATATATTGTGAAATGTATTGAGAAATTCACTCAAGTGATTACGAGGTTTTTCCATTTATACCATCTGCACTTTGAATGGCTGGTTTCCACCTTGTTGTTGCATTGCACACACTACAAAATCATGTTGCAATAATAACAAACAGGTTTGAAAATATGGCAGCGCCTGTGACTGCTCGAGACGCGCTCTGATGTCAGAAGACTTCTCTGACTGGCTCTTACTTGACAAGCATTGGTGACGCAACAAGCACCGATGTAGCCGCAATCCAGGGGTTTTGTCGCAGACCTTGGAAATCTGTCTGTGACAGCAAAGTCCAACCAAAACTCATGTAGTGTGAGCTTCCCTTAAGACAACCTGTTTTGTTAATCCTGGAACAACATTCCTGTCTGAAAACATAACCCCACCCATAACGTATCCCTAAAATCAGAGGGAACATATTGGTGAATAACACTGATGTAGAAGCACACAGCCCTGGTTGTACGCCTAAACTTCACATAAATTGTAAACTTGTCCTTCAAATCTGATTGGTTGATTGGAATGTTGATCCATGAACATGTACTTGGTGCTCAAATGTACTTTTGAAAAATGTCATGGTATTGCATTTGATAAATGCGTGGGAAATGTTGTGGTATTAATCATGTACATGGCAAAAACATGTTGCTTTTTTGTAAATGTGATATGTGAGTGACAAGAAGAAGCCTCCAAAAATAAAACTAAGTTTACTCTTACTGGTGCTGCTGGGCAGTAAACCCTTTTTTTTTTAATCCAACAGGCTTTGTAGTAATACTAATAACTTTCTACATAATTTGCATCTATTTAGTAAGAAACATGCCATAAGGATTACCTTTACAATTGTCTGAAAGTTTTATTAAAGTATAGAGTGTTAATTCTAAAATGCTTTGGAACCAGCATGATAAAATATATTTGTATTATATGATTTATGTACCATGATCCAAATGAACGTTTAAATGCACACCTGTTCTTGTGTCGATGGTTCAGCTTCTCCATAATAGTTTTGTTTCTCCTCAGGTGGTGCCAGTTTGTCTGTGGGCGTCTTGTGGTGTACCTGAGGGAGACAATTAGAAATGGCAGCCAATAAGAGTAGGGGTCAGAGCTCCCTCGCCCTGCACAAGGTCATTATGGTGGGCAGTGGAGGCGTAGGAAAGTCCGCCCTCACACTTCAGTTTATGTATGATGAGGTAAGTCAACAGACCATATGTTGTACAACATCTGGTAGATGCCGGAGGCTCTACTTACTCCATAAGTGTCCAAAAAAAAGTGTTGCTAGTCTTCAAGATACTCTTGTTCTCTGCATTGCCATGGTTTATTTACTTTATCAGTGATATTGGAAATTTTTCTCCTTTAGTTTGTTGAAGATTATGAGCCCACAAAGGCCGACAGCTACAGGAAGAAAGTGGTGTTGGATGGAGAAGAGGTGCAGATTGACATTTTGGACACAGCTGGGCAGGAAGACTACGCGGCCATCCGAGACAATTATTTCCGTAGCGGGGAGGGTTTCCTGTTGGTGTTCTCCATAACCGAGCACGAGTCTTTCACAGCCACAGTAGAATTCAGGTCTGTGGTATTGCACCATTCTTGCTACTTGAATTGTAAGCTAGTATAATCAGAAAATTGGATCTCCCATTGTGGCCTTGTATAGTCAGAAAATTGGACCACTCAACATTAAATGTATCAGTGTGTGTTTGCAGGGAGCAGATCCTGCGGGTTAAAGCTGAGGAGGAGAAGATTCCACTGGTTTTGATTGGAAATAAGTCGGACCTTGAGGATCGGAGGAAGGTTTCAGTGGCGGAGGCCAGAGGAAAAGCAGAAGAGTGGGGTGTGCAGTATGTAGAGACTTCTGCCAAGACACGAGCCAATGTGGACAAGGTCATTTTTCTGCTTGTTTTTTTTCTAAATTTAGATGATTCATTTATAACTTTTAAGTTTCAGTTTTAAATGGTGTGTGTGTATATATATATATATATATATATATGTGTATATTTATGTATATGTATGCATTTATTTATTTATTTTTGTTATTATAATTTTTTTGTTTGTTTTTAAACCATTTAGAAGCATAGTAACAAATTGTTCCATTGCTGCCCCTAACCATACACTTGCTTTGATAATATGCATCCAGTCTGTATTCCGGAATGATAGATGCCTTGAATGCAGAAATATGATGGCGGGCGGCTACAGTTTATTAAATGTAGCAGAATCCAATTTTGGATTATTTTCTGTGTAATGCAGTCTCTGATGGAAGTATACCATCAATATGTATTGCAGTGCCACAATTCAAACATGTGCTTGCTGTTCAGCGAGCAAAAAGTACATCAAGTTTTTATCTCTTTAATTCTACTTGGTGGTAAATTTTTTTAATGCATTTTGTTAAATATTTTTTCGCTGCTAGTATTCATTTGTTAACAATTATACATTTTATTATACTGATAAATGTTTTTTTTATCTAATGAGGGAGGTTTGAGCTGCAAAGGGAAACAACAAAAAGAATAGTCTTTTTCTCTTTATTCTAACTTATTTTTTTTTATTATTTAATAAAAAAAATGTACAAAATATTTTTTGCACTGATAATTTTCGATTTTATACAACCATGTCATACTGAGCAATAATGAAACTTTTGTTTTTCCAAAGGTATTTTTTGATCTAATGAGGGAAGTCCGTGCTAAAAAGATGTCAGAAAATAAGGACAAAAACGGGAAGGGAAAAAATAAGAAGAATAAGAAGAGCTTCAAAGAGCGATGCTGTTTACTTTGAACTACACATGGACTTTTCCTCACCAAATCTACTTGCAACTCTGTGGGGAAACTCCCATCAGAGTGCTTTTTCTTTATTAAAATAACTTAATGCGTAAGGTTTTGTACTTGGAGAGGTAAGCCTTTATCACAATCTTTTATTTGCTTAGTTAATTTCAAACAACTAGATTTAAGAATGGTATGCATACGTTTTAATGGACGATGATGACCACTATATGGCTACTGGTTAAAGAAGACTGTGGCACTTTAGGACCTTATTAAATGTAGTTGGCCAACATGCGCCCAACACTAACTTTATAATATCTTTCCCTCCACAGTTTTTAGTTGGCAAAGTTATCTCCTCATTTTTTTTAGTGCACATCTTTTGAGTATTTCTGTGTCAGTTTTTTTTTTCAAATCTATCCATTTTTATTTCAACTCCTGTTGACACCATCATGGTATAGAGAGCAAGAAATGTTTTTGTAGATGATGTCAGTACTGTGATTTTCAACGTTGAAAACCTGCTATGAATGACGCCATTGAAAAGCACACGTGGTACTGAGGACAGAATGCGAAGCATGGATCAATAGCGCCACCCGGTGGTTTAAAAGTATATCTTTCAGGAAGTCCTCATGCCTAACTACAAGTTACTAACCTCTGTGAACTTATCTGCCTTTATGCTTTGGTGTTTTATTGAAATATTTTTGTAATACTTGTTACATTTTCACCACTGTCTTATGAGAAGAATGTATTCTGTGTGAAAACGTGCCAACAAGCATCATGACTTTGCAGCATTTTCAGACTGATCATAAGACACATTTTATTTAGTGTTTGTTTAGCACCCTGAGCTTGGAGCTGCGGTTTCACCAGTCATTTAAATAACGGCTCTTTTATACAAATATCACCTAACCTAAACTGCTATTTGTATTGTAGTTTTCCACTGCTTTTAGAAGAACAATGTCAAGTATGTTGCCAAATAAAAAATTTTCCTCCTTTGTATCACTTGTTCTTCACTTCTAAGATTCAAAGAATTTTTATTAGTCAAATCAAGTAGATTGTTTCAAAGCAGCTTTACAGTGATATACAGGAAAATAATGATCAATGATGCAAACAGTTCATTTCGGCTGTAAAGCCGCTCTAAAAAGACTACTAGTGTCAGTACTTCAGTTGATTACGTTTGGTTCAGAACTGTGTAAAGTTAATAAATTATGGAATGAGTTCAATTCAGCTATAAGCAGCTCTGGAGAAAACAGTGATGTCATCGTCCCTTCTCATCCAATAGTGTCAGTGCAGTCAGACCAATAATATTGCTGAATATTAAGTATGCCCAAATAAGCAAGCCAAAGGCGACGGTGGCAAGGAAACCAAACTCCTTCAGATGACATAAATGGAGGGAAAAACCTTGGGAGAAACCAAGCTCAGTCGAGGAACCAGTTCTCCTCTGGCCAAACAAACCAACATGTGATTATGATTCCAGGCTGCATCACAAATCAGATTGTAGATTGAGCATTCAGAATATTTTATCCAGCTCCTTCTGCTGAAAGATCGGATACATTACGCCGGCATTTGGAGGGAGGAATTGAAGCTGGTTAGTAACAATAGTGTTTTCTAAGGGTAATAACTAAAGACATCGGTACTACATTTATTGGTTTAAATTTATAATTATTTTTAAATATTTAATTTAATAATTATATATATGTTTATTATTATAAACAGTATATATTATTATTAACAAAAACAAATGTTTTTGTTATTATAAATAATAATAATAATACACCTAGTGGGCCACACTCCAACATATTTACATTTGTACATTTAGAAAAGCTAAAATTCTAATTTTATTTATAAATTGATTAGGCATGATTAATTTCTGTTAGTGTTGGATTTCAAATTCATCAGCATAAATATGTTGCACAGTATATAAAAAAATCATAGAGGTAGAGAATATCAATATTTATAATCAGTCTGAAACTTTGTTTTCACCACTGCATTATGAATATATTCTGCTCTATTGGCAGAGCAGCAGAAGAACAAAGACAGCGGTGTTCTGCTGATAAACCTGCAGTTTTCCACTGGATGGCAGTCATGCTGTTTCCACAGATTCAGATTGTGCTGCTGGCTGCCACATGCAACTATTTCTGAATATATTGATCAGGATCAGTGGTTCGCATGAACAGTTTCTAATGCATGCCATTTGTTACACGTACATGGCATTTGGTAGCAATAGCCAATAAGTACCTTAATGGAGACTACAATTAGGCAAGGTTATGCATGATTATACGGTATGTTTTCTTCTGTAATTAAGAAACATTACATTTTGAGACCAAGCAATTTTGCACTGATATCCACCCTTTGCCATTATCATCAGTAAGGAACATGTCATGCTTTTCCTTGCATTGCATTTCTTTATACATCCTCTCAAGCCATTAGTGTTATCAGGGAAAAGCTATATCAGAAGATTTGACATTAACAGTATAACAGATAATCTTATATTAAACCATTATTCAAACTATGAAATAATGATTGCTGTCAAATATTTAATTCATAGTGGCTTTTGTGTTTCCATATATGTGTATGGACAGTATATATATATATATATATATTTTAAGGTAACAGTATAAGATCTGCTATTGCTTTAGGCAAGTCTCTGCTTCCTATTATTTGGGTTATGCAATTAAGTAGGCCTATTATAGTTCAAACCCATACAGAACAACAAAATATGTGAAAGTTATAAATAAGAGATCATTTACTTTCTGTGTCTTAGGCTGTTTCACATTTTTAAACGATAGTTTTGTTTGGAAGAGAGAAGTAGTGGATGAGTGGATTAAAGATTGCATATTGATCAAAAGGCTTCTTTCAAATGTCATTTGCGTTCACCCTGTGCACAATGTGTATTCATAAACCTTGCATTGGTATATGATTGATGTTGTCATAATTGTTTTTACAACTTCTTTAATCAAAAGGAGATGTCTTGCTTCTGTTTGTATTAAAGCAACCATTACAACAAAAGAATGTGCTGAAAACTGAACTGAACTGATATTAGTCTTATTTTAAGACAATCTTGGGGAACATTTGTGGTTGTGGTTACAGTTCAGAGGCAGAAGCAGCCAGCCAAATGTCTCAAGAAGTCTCCCTCTGGGCATTTTTTATGGTTCTCTGTGAGTTTATGCACCCATATCACCATTATGAATCCCGTAGCCAGTGAACTTTTAAAAAAAAAGATTATAGAGGGATATTTTCCTCATATTTAACACAAAAACATCCTGCTTTTTTCCCATGACTTCTGTCTTCTGAAAGAATATTTCTGTGATTGATCATGCTTTTTTCATTAATGATTTCTGACTAAATTTGAGTTGCAAGAAAGCAAAGAGGCCAGCCGCCGATGTTCTTCTATATCTGCAGGTAGACACTAATATAAGTACAAGACATTTTCCCTGATGCGATCACACCACCACTGTGTGGATCTGTTGCACTGCTCTTAATATTCACTCAAGTGTTTGTAATAAGATGCTTATTAAAAAAAATCAGCTGTTTTGTTGAGGATTATTGCAGCCGTATTTTTTTTTTCTGTTGAAGAAAGCAATACCCTTTACTAATATCCTATCTCAAGGCTGAATATTTCATTTCTGGTTTCTTCGCTGAACAATACTTCAAATAAATCTTAAAGCTATTATTTCACTGGCTGCAAATTGCACATCTTTAGAACAGAACTGATAAATGCCAGACTCCAAGGTCTAAGGGGGAAATCACTGAGAATGAATTGTATCCGCCAATTGTGTTTATTTGCACATGATGTCTGCATTGTTTGAAAGAAATTATGCAGTTCATGAAGAAACACCCTATCCATCCATCCATCCATTCTTTCTATCAATTGTTCATCTATCTATCCATCCATCATCTATTCTTTCTGTCAGTTGTTCTCATCCATCCATCCATCCATTCTTTCTGTCAATTTGTCTCCATCCATCCATCTTTCTATTAATTGTTCTCAATCCATTCATCATCTATTCTTTCTGTCAGTTGTTCTCATCCATCCATCCATTCTTTCTATTAATTGTTCTCAATCCATTCATCATCTATTCTTTCTGTCAATTGTTCTCCATCCATCCATCCATCCATCAATCCTTTCTGTCAATTGTTCTCCATCCATCCATCCATCCATCCATCCTTTCTGTCAATTGTTCTCCATCCACCCATCCATCCATCCTTTCTGTCAATTGTTCTCCATCATCTATTCTTTCTGTTAATTGTTCTCCATCCATCTATTCGTCATCTATTCATCTGTCAATTGTTCTCCATCCATTCATTCGTTCTTTCTGTCAATTGTTCTCCATCCATCCATCATCTATTCTTTCTGTCAATTATTGTCATCCATCCATCCATCCATCCAATAACATATTTCATCATCATTTAATGAATAACTAATGCACGACTGCTAAATCATCCTTTAAAATATAAAGTTTACAGTCAATGAAAAGCAGTGCAACTGTTTTGAGAAAATTGTAATTTGCCTAAAGCTTATGCCTTTATCCATTATAACAATGTAATTCTGTTACCTGTGTGAAATGTCATTACAGTATTTAAATGAGTTGTTTAGCATAATGCTCCTTTGACTCGTTCGGGACAGATGAGGCTGTAGGCTGATGATTGAATCTCTGTCCATGGTACTGAAGATCACTTTGTAGTCCAGCAATCCTCCAGATTGATTCGGCAGCTCTCCGCAGGTGCAGAACCACAGTCTGACTCTCATTAACTGATAGCAGCTGAGATGGAAATATCAGCAGGGAAAAAGTGAATCAGTGCTGAGCCCAGAGACTGTCACACAGAGGCCAGAGCCCTGCGGATATTAGATGTAAAGGCCTGCATGGTCTTGCTGGGGCACAGTGTAAGTTGTTACTGCCACTGACCACCACTTCTTTCCAGAGGATGAAATAGCAAAGTAGAACAGCAAAGCCGATAAGACTCTGAAGTTTCTGAAGTTGACAGAAGTACAATGAAACACCTCAGAGATCTGCTAAAAGTGATTTCTGGTATTAGGTCAGATGCAGAGCTAAGTCAAGGCACTGCATGTTTTTCATTACTAGTCTAATAAAAGTACCTACTTGTATTTATTATAGCACTTCTGTGGGTCAAAAAAAGCAATGCCATAGACTCCAGGTTCTTGGTTTTAAATACAATGCAATGCACTGTTAGCTGCTTTGGGTGGAAGTCATTTTCAAAGTCAGAAATGTAAATAAATTGACCCAATTTACTTTGTCAAAAGGATATAGTTTACAGAAAAAAATGACATAAATGAAAATCTCTCTGAGCATTATCTCAATTTTAAAATGATAAAAAAATAAAATAATTGTCCTTCAGTTCAAATGGACTATTTCATCTATTCATTTAATTGTTGTTCTTAAGACTCAGCTCATGCCTCAGACGACTTCCCCACAATAGGGTGGAGGGAATCTAATCATAGGAGCTCACTGCTTCCGTTTATCAGGCCTGGAGGGGACCTGCTCCTTTGCATATTCATAATGCTGTTCTCCATTGTTATGAGGACTTAAGAGATGAGCTACAGCATATAGCACTGGGAGCACAGCCCTGTTCAACAACCAAATAAACAGC